AAACTAAGACCGGCCCCCGACCAGAGAAAGGAACAGCTATGTGGCCCTCGCAGGAAAAAGTTTGGGGACCCCTGCTCTAGAGCCTCCACTTGACTTCTTTTGACACCGAGAGGTATTACAGGATGTACCACATAATTAAATTGTCCAGATGCTATCACATGCAGCGCTCTGCAGTGGTATTCAGAAGAAGTTAAGATTGCAGTTCACCTCTAGCTGTGAAGGGGATTATTCATGTGTTAAAGTGACCTGGTAAAAAGACTTGAAACTAACTGAGAATCAGTGAAAAACTGATGTTTACACTCACTCTCCGTCCAAACTCATTAATTTTTCTTCTAATGTGAGAAAAGAATGAGCAGAACATTCAGTTTCTATATGCAAAGTTGGTAGAGAAATGAATGAAAAAGGGTTACTGAGACCTTCTCCTTATCACCTATGATCTGTAAGTCCATTGACACCTGGGATTTAGCAAGCTGAGGTTTGTCAGGTAAATGATCGGTTTCACAACAAGCCTCACACGTGTCTGAAGACTCTCAGGTGTTGCGTAACACCATGCCAGATCCCCTACACTGATTTATTTATGCAGGAAAACTAAAGGAAAACCACGGATCTTTGCTTACACCATATTATCAGAGTTTAACAAGAAAACACAAAATCAGTCAACAAATAATAATTCCCCACATGTTACTCCATAAGTCCCTCCATCACAGCTTCTGTGGTTTTGTGTTATTTCCATCAAAGGTTATGAAAAAACAAAAACATTTTGTTGTCTTCGTGTTTTTATTTTTTATCTTTTCAAAGCTAATCTCTACATGCAGTCATAAGGAAACATCAAAGCCCTAAAAACAGGAATAAAAAGAGTCTTGTAAAATGTGACGTTTCAGCCCTCCACCCACACCCAACAGGTTTTAGTGCAACTTTAATGGCCATTGCCAATAAAAAGATTCCTTGTGTTTGCACGTTATAACAGCATGACAATAAAACGAGGAATGGAATAAAATCAGGGGTGGAAGGACCGACAGGGTGTTGCCAGGAACAGGTAAATAAAACCTGGAGAGGAAAGAAAAAAAGTTATTTTGGGGCAGAGAAGTTGTAAAAGTGTCCTGTGGGGTGTTTAAGAGTGGCTGAGGATTCGGACCGCCTTTCATATGCTCACATTCACACGCACTGATCACAGCAGGGAAGACTGACAAGATAAAATAATATACAGAAAGTTAAAGGTGAGTGAATCTTTTTTTTATTATTTTATTTTATTTTTACAAAATAGCTTCCACACATATTGGAAGATTTAAAAAATGTACTTTATTTACTTCTTGCCACTTGATTTATCAATAAATTCTCATTGTGATGGCAAAACCTTATCTTGTGAGCCACAGTTATGCCAAGGATCAAACATGTTACAGAGATATTTAAAAAAAATTGTTTAAAATACTTTACCTTTATTTATGATGACAAAAATTCTTGTTATATCATAGGTTGTCATGCTAACGGTTATTTCCCGTTGCATCTGGAAACAAAAGCATTTATTTGTTTTGTGAATAATGTTTCAGTTTAAACTGAGCTGGAGCTAAAGCTGATCCAAGCTGTCATAAGGGTATTTAGACTGGAGAAGGACTCATGGATAACAGTCATTAATAAAATAAAATAAAAAACCAACAAATACAGAAAGGTTTAAAACTTTAAACATATAGTTTGGGTGTTTATATGAATATCTTTTATTTATTTAGGTTTACCTGAGAAGACCATCGAAATGAAGTTAATGATCAGTATCGCGCTTTTATTTTTGCTGCCCTCCTGTGCAAGCCAAACATCAGGTAAGCTTCGCCTCTTTACATACATAAAACATTTGTTCCCTCTGTCTTGGTTTTCAACTTATCATTCTTTCAGTATTTGATGCATCAAACCCGTCACTTGTATTTCTTCTTTCTAAGTCGTCTACATTGAGTCCTCTCCCGAACCACTTGATGGTGTAATCCAGACTAAGACTAAAGAGACAGTGTCTCTGGTCTGTATTCTTACTGGCACTCATGAGGATAAGGAGTTGGTGTGGCTGAGGAATGACGCTATGATTAAACTGAATGATGGAAACAAGGAGACTAGAAGCAGTGTGTGCATCGAACCTGTCATCCAAAAGGATGATGGCGCCACGTTCACCTGTCAGCTGAAGAGCAATTCCTCCCATTCGGCCTCCGTCACCCTCAATGTCACATGTGAGTCCATTAACGGATGTTTATACTAATCATGAGGTGAACTTTTTAAAAAAATAACAAGAGATTAAAAGTTTGAGATTATTTTTAAAATCTTGGTTCATTCTGGTATTATATGGTTCGGATTCAACTTTTGCCTTTGACATTTTAAGGTCTTTGTGTTAAACATGGTTTCAGTTTGAAAATGTTTTCAGCACCGTTTTTCTTATAAAACTAATTTTTGTAATTTTCTTGCTATTTTTATCTATGAAAAACCAGGAAGCCGCTTTACATTCAGTGTAGATTTCCATGAAGTGTAACATCCTGCATTGAGTGTCGTTATCTAAGAGCTACACAAACACATAAAAGAAAAAATGTGTTGCAGATTGAATGAGTGAAGAGGTGGTTTTAAACTATGAGAAAATGAAAAGAAGTTACCCCAATATTATCCATCAAAACATAGATAACTGTATCCTGTTGTAGACTGAAAATGATTGTGGTTCTTAGTTTTGATGCATTTAATAAAGCTGAAAAGAAAAAGGATTTTCAGTATTTGACATGAGATGTTCAAGACAAAATTGCCCATTTTCAATCTCAGGCCAGGTAATTATTTTTAAAAAGCAATCTTATGACTCCTAAAACAAATCACATCTAAAAGGAACAATTTATGACTGATGCATCTACTATTAAACCAATGTTACTTATATTATTAATGCCCTTTTTTTATGGATATTTCAAGATCTTTCACTCTTTAGTTTATGTTAATTGTTTCAGGTTGTAAAAATAGGAACCCACATTAAAAATTCAATTCCTTTAAAAAAAAATACAATTCAATGTTGTTCTTTTAATTTTTTGTTTCTGGAAAAGAAAATGATTTAATTTTAGCTTAAAACTAAGTATTAACCTGATTCCCCTTATTAAATAAAATATATAAACACAAATGGATTTTCTCGCTAAAGAAAAAATGGGAACACCCTATCTCCTAATAGCTGGTCTAACCTGCTTTGGTTGAAATTACTTCATCAATTTCCTGTCTTACACATCTTGCATCGACTGTAAAAGTGTGTAGTTTTACTTCAACAGAAGATTGTGTTATAATCTGAGAAGTATTTTAGGATTTTTGGAGAGTTGTTCTATTATCAATTTTTCTGTGCAACACGTTAGATTTGAGCATTTTATGATGATTCATGAAGTAGTAAAGAACAAAATGGCACTGCGTGGAAGCCACGCCCAAACAGCCTGGACAGCGTAGAGGTTTTGCTGTCATTGTTTTTATTTGATATTGCCATCATGTGTCCCTTTGATTCCAACTCAAAATAAAATCAGAAAAAGGTGTCCTAACCATACCGCTGATTGCTGCCTTATAGGATGAACATCACAACCCTGTTGAGTCTCAGCTAATTCCCCACATCAAATGTTCAGAAGCATGTTAAACCTGCTCATTTGTTTTAGTGTCAATAATTTTTTTTTATTTTTCTCAGATTCCGCAGACCTCTCTGGTTCAGAGAAAGTTACATTAGAAGAAGAGGAATCACTGGACCTGCAATGTGACATGAGGGCCAATCCTTTGGCAACGTCAGTGACGTGGCAACTAAATGGAACCTTGGTGGATCTATCGACAGGTGGCTTCATTATAACCAACGACGGCATTAACACCAAGCTATATGCCAAGAAAGTGGACAGAAGCCTGCATGAAGGCAGCTACCAGTGCACGGTAACCTCTCCCAGCCATGAACCGCGCAGCAAGACTTTCCAAGTCACTGTCACAGGTCAGTTCCCCCACTGAGAGCTTTAAATGTTTACAGAAACCTGAACAATCTACACAAATAATACCCCACAGATTAGCCAGGGCTTATCTGATTTCATTTGTCTTTGTCCACAGATAAGACCATAAAGTTCCCGCTGATGCCGACGATTGCGGGAGTGGTGGTGGTGGCCCTCACAACTCTTCTCGCCATAGTTTCACGGTGGAGGGTGATTGCAAAGGTAACTCACGCAAAGCAAACTCAAACGTTACTCATTCGATTCTTGCAGCACAAATTTCTTAAGAGTTTCATTCTCCTTCAACAGTGCTGCAAATAAGTGATCTGAAAGAACCTGGTCCTGTCATGAAGTGAGACCTTCGACGAAGCTTTCTGCGTGGTGCAAGAGATTTTGATCACCCAGTTATATGGCTTTTTCTTATTTAATTTCTGACATTTTTGGACTTTACCCAAAGCTAAACTCTCTCCCCACCTAATTAGTAAACAAATAAATAAGATAGTTGTATTTCCTGGAAGAACTGAACATGTAAGTCAGTAAGTTTTAAATCGTATTAAGTTATTTCAGTTTAATTTTAATAGATTCAAACAAGATTTGTTATTCTATTGTGTTTCCATTATTATTTTCTTTTTAGTTCAGGCTACAATCATCACGTTGTTCCCTTGTTTCTGGGGAAGACAGAAGAGTTGGCTTTCCCACACTAACAGCTCAATAAGCATTTTTCCTGTGCTAAATATTCAAATGTATGTCAAAATGTACAAACTTGTGTATACTGTAATTTATATAGTAAACACACTGTAATGAGGGATTTCAGAATCATGCAATGAGGCATTAAATGTAGTATAACAGAAGAAATAAACCTATTTATCTGTTCCACAAAGAAAAAACCCCCAAAATGATTCACAAAGTTGAACAATTTTAAAAGAAATACAATGTAAATATGGAGTCAGCAGAGAAAGAAAGGATTTAACTTAACTTAAGATGAATGAGTTTGTGTTTGATGCTTGGTTAGGACAAAAAAACAAAACTAAATTCAAAATAAAGCTATGTTAAATTTTGGTTTGGAATTGAACTGGGTTTATTCACTCTAGCTTAGGTGACATAAACATTGACAACTTTTGATGCTAGCAATGATTTAATACCAAATTCATATCCTGACCTGTTATTTAGAGTTGACAGTTAAATTAAGAAACCTATTTCCAAAAAATCACAAAACTTTGTATGTCAAAAATGTTTTTTTTTTTAAAAAAAAAAAACTATTAACTCTTTATTTTTAAATGAAGGAAAAGCATTTCTCTTAAAACACTAAGCACTTTTTTGAATTTTTAAATATTTAACATGTTTATCAATGCATATGTGTATCTTAATGTTGCTTGTCAATTGTCGTCATATGTATATATAATTGTATAATGTATAAGTACAAGTACTCCTATTTCTTTTTTCGTACAAAGTACAGACATAAATCAGTGATTCTCAAGAAGTTATGCTATCAGCTAAAGGACAAAAAATCAGTAGCTCTCTGATTGTTCAGATAACTTTTAAAGCCTCACCTCGTGTAATAGCATCCGAATTTAATTCAACCACCATAACATATTTCGGTGTCTTGTAAAGCGTTATTTTTGAATCTAATTTCTCTGAGGTTCACATGTCTGCTGAACTTTAGCTTCTGACTCAACAATAAAGCCCAGGCTTGTTAAAATCATGTTATACATTTACTCTTAATGTGACAAAAGGACAGGGATTATGAGGTTGTGTGGTTCAAGGTCTGGATCTTTGTTTTCCTGCCCATGAATAAACACTCTGGAGGGTTACATGAAAGAAGGCAACGCCAGCTGCTCTGATGTAAACCACGTGTTGATTAAATAAACAAAACTGATATATACATTTGCTGTGTGATAGGAAACTTTTTTGTGACAGTTGAATATCATATTATTTTAGAATTTAATGAAACACGTAGCTGAAGAAGAAATCTCCCGTGGGGAGGCTTCAAGAGGCGCCGCCATGTTTAAAAACAGCAGAAGAAAAATTCTTCATGACGTGTATGAAGACCCTGAGAAACAGAGTTTTGCCCTCTGCCACATGGCTGCCAAATCGCTCCGACCCTTGAAAGCATCTCACACACAGGTTTAAAGTGGCGTCTGCCAATCACTTTACCTTCAAACCTGTCTGTGGAAATACGATTCACATTATAGTGTGAACGCACAAGCACAAGAAAAATCTAAAAATATAATACAAGCACCACGTGACAAACAAGAAGGGCGACTGCCAACAGGGCATTTTTGAAAAACATTACACTGCAATAGTAAAAGGTAAATTCGAGGTATCAAAGTAAACATAGACTTCAAGGTCCCTTAAGGAAGATCGACATCTGACTATATTCTGTAGTTTCTGATGAAGTTAAACAGTTGAAAATGTTATTTGGTGATAATATCAATAATATCGACACTTTGGTTTCAAAAAACAAAATTAATATTTCAACATGAAACCTTTATTTATTTGTTATTGCTAGCTTACATTGTTTTTTATTTGTTTTGTTTGTTTTGGTTTTTTTAAGAAAAAAGGAATGGCTTCTAAATAAATAGTATTCTCTTGTATTATTGAGCCTTACTGGTTTAAATGTCATTTACATTTAAAGCAACATATGAAGCATGTCTCTTTAATTCCAATGTGGCAAATCAATCTCAGTCCAACTATGTTGTTATGATGTTCATTTTCTGAAATGTTATTTTTACAAGATGGAAATCTGTTTCCGTCTTGTAATACTGTTCTCTAATATCCTGGATATAATCAAGATGTTTCTGGTAAATGTGAAACAGGGTTTAAGTTATTTCAATAGTGATTATTTTTTTTATCTTGGATTTGTATACAGCCTATTTCTTATTTTTAAATTGTGAACATTGAACTTAACTGATGCAAGTCAGCAGTGTTTAGAGAAGTCTTGATTCAGCTGGTCAGGCAATAATCAGACCTGGGTGTTGCTGGTAGGGTTAGGGTTTTATACATATAATTACATGTTTTATTGATTTTCTGAACATAATGTCACATAAAATACAAACAGTAACAAAAACAAAATTGCTGGGAAATTTTAAACTTGTCAAGAAAGAGATTTTCTTTAACCAAGTAGTTTTCATCAATCGATTCATGATTTAACAAGAGGGTGTTGGTTACAATTTCACTGACGGGCAGATTATTTTTGAATGCCGTTATCTCCTTAAACAATAAGATGAAAATTCAAAAACTGCTTTTTGAATTTTTTGGGGTTATCTAGTTGTTGTTTTTAATCATCAGTTTGAACATTTGAAACAAATAAAGCAAAAACAAGAAAGAAAATGTTCCTTCCCAGATAGCACAGAATGATTGAAACAACATTGAATCAATGTCAGCCAGAAACATTGAATCAACGTTGAACGCTGACATTGAAACAACATTGAAAGTGGTCGGTGACTTGTATGTTGAATCAGCGTTAGGGTTTCAACCATAACTGATATTATATCAATGTTGATTCAACCATCATCTGTATGTCAACTTGTATGCATATTTGTGTTGATAGTACATTGAATCAGTTATGAATCAATGTTGATTCTACATTATATCAATGTTGATTCAACCATCATCTGTATGTCAACTTGTATGCATATTTGTGTTGA